CACGACAGATCTAATTTATCAATACATTCCTACGAACTCGCCAACCAAGCTTCCCTAAGTGACTAGCAAATTTGTAGAAAGCTTAGTGCGCCCAAACAGTCATTTTCCACTATTTACTCTGATGTATAAATTGGTTTTTTTTTTTTTATTTCTTAAAAATGTTGTCCACATTCAACTTCTACCCTCGATAATTATCCTACTTGGAGATATCAAATATTTAAGCTATTCACCGCTAATTGCATCTCATGAACTAATACATATCCTCCAAAACACCTTATCAGATACAACTTGCTCTCAATCCCCACTACACTCTTTGGCTTTTTATTGCCCAAATTCTTGTCGTCTTCTGCGCTATCTCTCCATCTATCCTACCTTACATCCTCAATTCTGACACGTGCTTTTATTTGGTCAACTCTTGAATGCATTTTTTATTCTACCTATCATGTTACTATCAAACACTTAGTCGATAATATAGCAACAATAGGAGGTTCCATTGATATGGAAGATATTATTCTCTATATTCTGAAAGGACTGTCAACCACTAATTATCAAGCATTCAAGACTGCCATCCGAACCAAGCTCACTACTATCAATCAAGATGATCTTTATTCTCTCTTGTGTAGTGATGATGTAAATCAAGCTACCAATGTTGTTAAAGAACACATGGTTACTAATTCAGCAATAGCAGCCAATCCTCGCTTCGCCCTCACCTCCACCCATGGCCGTGCTAACGACCGATTCTTCAACACTCGCGAGCACAGCAGGTCTAATTCTGTCAATGTATTCCTACGAACTCGCCAACCAAGCTTCCCTAAGTGACTAGAAAATTTGTAGAAAGCTCAGTGCGCCCCAACAGTCATTTTCCAGAGCTCCTGTAATATTAGAAAAAATATATGAGCACATAAAGTTGGACGCTAGAATTGAATTGCTTATAATTGATATGGAATACATTATTCTCTATATTCTGAAAGGACTTCCAACCACCAATTATCAAGCATTCAAAACCTCATCTGCATGTTTCATCTGTAGATATAACCAATGTTTAAAATTGCGTAATCGGGTATTGAGGCATTTTTCGTTCGTGAGGCGAGGCGTAAGTCTCATGTCGTTAAATTACATAAACATAAAATGATAAATTTTGAATATACTAATGAGTAAATAATATATAAAACATAAAAAAAAGTGCTACTTACCACATCTTTGAGGATAAATAGTAATGACATATCACATAAGAACTCATAAGTCATCAGCATTGTCATCAGTCATCACTAAGGGGGTCTTCATTTGAATCATCATTATGATGAACTGCTCTCTCCTCTTCCTCCTCTCCTATAGAGTCCAATGTCTCCCAATCAGCTCCTTCCTCTTTATCAGTTATCTTCATCTTTCCTAAATATATTTGAACAATATCATAATGAATAATAATGTAATACATTAATAAAAGTCTAAGAAAAAAAAACTATATTATTTATATACCTTTTTTGATTTGTTCTTGAGTTGTGGTGGATGTAGATGCTTTAAGACCATCAAAGAAATTAACATTTAAATCTTCATCTTATAATTCAGACGACGTCACTTCAACTTAATCATCTACAAATCACTCATCATCAGATGTCACATCCTCGCAAAGCAAAAGATCTTCATCATCCATTAATCCTTTTTTCTTCAAATTATTATCACTGAGTCTCCTATTGTACATAATGTATACAAATGAATTCATCCTTAATGTAGACAAGCAATTTCTCTTCTTTATATGTACTTGGTTGTAGGTACTCCAATTTCTTTCATAACCAGATGAATAGCATGTCAAGCCCAAAACCTTCACAGCAAAACACTGCAATTCTAGAGTCCCATTACCAAATTGAATCCACCACTCAACTAATATTTATATAAGAGAGTTTAATTAGTGTAAAAAAATAACTTTTAAATAAATGTTTAAAATTAAATAAAATCACTTGAAGATCGTTTGGCAATTGTATCTTTTGCTTGTTGTAATCTAAAAAAGCATTCTTTGTTCCTAAAAGGTACCAATTGCATGTTAGCATTTGATCTTTCAGTTGCATCAGTTATTAAACGATCCATGCAATGATACAATCCCAACTTTATTTCAGGGTTTATAGACTTGTTCTATGCATATTAATATTGAGAGTTTAGGTAATAATCAGCAGCATGCAAGTGTCGGTGAAGCTGTAGCTCACACCTATCATTAATAATATTTCAAATTTCCCTAAAGCTTCCCTCATTGCCTCCTAAGTTGGAGGCAATCATCTCTTTGGCTTCATCCATGACATTGTAGATGAAACCGATTACAGGCTTCTTCTTAGCATCCACCATCCTTAAAATATGAACTAAATGTCTAATGATTGTAATGGCATATAAGACACTTCACCAAAATTTGTCATAAAAAATTCTCTTCTCAAAACTCAGACTCAGAATACCTTTGTAATTTACTATTTCATATGCATAATCAGGAATTAGTTAAATGTCATCCACTGGTATTGGTTCATTTGGATTTGTGTATGAAATTAATTACATTTCGGCTGGGATTGACACATTTTGGGGAATTGACTCATTTCTGGATGGAATTGGCTCATTTTGGGGGATTAGTTTATTGGGGCTAGTGGGAGGGATATATGATTTATGTTTCTTATTGTAAGATGAAAAGTAGCTAACATATTATTTTTTAGAAAATATTTTTCTCTGATCAATGTGATTATTGAGCTTGACCTCAATAATTTCAACTCTTTCAGCTAGATCTTTAAACTTTCTACTCAGCCTACCTTCAAATTCAAGAAAGGGTTTTGTGCAGGTTTCTTAGCATGATTTAATTATTTTTTCTTGGAGAGATTCCATTGCTTCAGCAGAAAAACTAAAGTATGGTTATTAAGGAGATTGGTGGGGGTCTTGCTAAGGAGGTAGGGTATGATGGGGAGATTGGGGGGGGGGGGTTGATGGATCGATATTTCATAAGGGGATTCAGGGGATGGAGGGCTGTCTGATGGATATTTCTTGACGTTAACCAGATCAATTTCAGCCTGAGAAACTCCTTGGAAGACATTAAAAATTTGACTTTTCTTTATATTAACAGATAAATTAGTGACCACCTCTGTAGTATATACAATATCATCGACCCATTACAAAAAATGGGGCCTTTTGTCAGCATACATAGGATCATGAAAAAAAGTATGCTTCATGAACCAAATCTACATAAGATGAAAGAAAATTTAAACAAATGAATTAAAAAAATTAAATAAAATTTCGAATGAATTTAGTACTTAGCACTTAACACTCATAATTAGCAGAGGTACAAAACCGTTGATATTTTTCTCCTTTATTTGGCAGACCAGTAATAAGGGTTACTTCATCAGCAGTGAAAGGAATGGGCTGACATTTTAGAATAAAGCATTACTTTGAAATATTTCACCTTGAGATCAGCTCATAAATAAGATGGACATTTTGCTCAAACAAAAGAAATTACAAAAATTGTATGATCTTTAAACATTTCAATGTGTCCACGGCTTCAGGAGAAATTTGTTGAGAAAAATTATCACAAATTGTTAGAAAAGTCAAAACATAGCATCGATAGGTAATGGGACGAACATATATCTGAAAAATAAAAAAAATAAAAACATATAAAATAAGCATAAAAGATAAGCACAAAAACTGCACAACATACGCATAAAATACGCACAACATAAGAAAAGATCACGCACAACATATATATAGAGTGCTCACATCATATGCATTAGCACGCACAGTATATACACAACATACGCATAGAATACTCAGTGTTTATGTCAGCGTACGCACATCCTACGGACAAAATTGGCATAAACTACTCTATTTTAAAAGTTTAGTTAGGGTTTATGTTTCAAATTTAAATATAAATTCATAAACCCTAAATACAGAAAAAATACGATGGCATCAAAGTATCAAACATTTAAAAAGTTTCGAGAAGCAACGTATATGCATAGCGTAAACATAAAATATGAAGAACTTCAAAATCATGAACACCTATGCATAGCATAACCATAAAATACGCAGAACTTGAATAAAAAAAAGCCAGCAAATTACCTTTCTCTTTGGGGGTGACGACATCTGAGAAGGAACTGAGTTAATGCTTGAAATTGCTCAGGAGTGGATACTTGAAATATTTGCTTGAAGTTGAAAATCGAAACGTCGCATGTACTGTGAAATTTTTCTGTCATTTTACCTTTACCAGGGTTTATATGTTGATGCCACGACAACATCTCACTAGGCAATCCAGGACTCAACGTCGGCAATTAGGGGTCCGAATTGAAATATATATATATATATATATATATATTATGTTAGCTTTTTTTAGAAGCGGCGCCTAAAAAATGTGAGGCGATGCACGCCTTATGACGCGCCTCAGTAAACTTGAGGCGTAAGCCTCGAAACCTGAACTTATTGCGTGGGCTTTGAGGCTTAAAGGGAGCATATTGCGCTGAGGCACGCCTTTTATTGTGTAATTTTAAACCATGGGTATAACATTAACAATCAGAATTAGGTGACTACATTTGGTTAGGAAACTGCTATTATCTAATTTGATTATATAAAAATTTATTGCAACTGCAAGGGTACTTGCCACCGAATTCATATGAACAATGAATTCAAACCAAAGGTAGATTCACATACTAAGGCTTGGTTTGGTTGGGCGTAATTAGTGACGTATTCGTTCTGAAACGTTATGTCAGATGTTGGTTGGATGTATACCTTTTACACAACTATGTTTTTCAAACCTTCATTATCGTACCGATTTGCAAAGCTTTTTATTTTTGCTTCTCCATTGATAAAAGGCAATTTTGAAACTTTCGTTTCTCACCAAAACTCATTTTTCCGCCAAATGAGGCTTAACTATTTTTGAGTTAGATATCTAACTTCTTTGTTGCTAAGAAACACTTAGGCATTGTTGCTCTTCATATGGATGAACAAGTTAAGCACATCTATTTAATGTACTAAAACTAAGGCTTTGTGAGTACTATAAACAATAAGAAAAACAGCTTTATAAAATCATAATGTAGCCTAACACAATAATTTAGCATATCTAATACACAGATATTAATAAAGTTCTAAGTTATTTGGAGTCTGTCATCTAATAATCGTATTTGCATGATAATGAAAACTGATCATGGATAAAGATGATAGATGAAAGGATAAATATGATATGGAAGGTGAGACATCATCGGGATCGAGTGACCGGGGCTTTGTAATTGTGCTAAGCAAGGCCATTTGGTAGCTGTTTCTGCTTCAGAGGCCATGGTTCGCCGGCCATCACAGCTTCAATTTCCCATGTTTGACGGGGCACATTTGTAAGATTCCTGCTGCCATTGGATGTAACAACCTACGAGATTAAAGAAACCAAACAGTCAAAAAACTAATAATGTGACAATAAAATCATTAAAAGTGATAAAACTTGTACAAAACTCCGAATAATTTGATCTTAAAAAGATATTTTAAGATTTTGTGAACTAAAAAAATAGTTTATTACTCTTATGCAAACAATGACAAAAAAACACCTTGCATATAGGCCAAGAATTTTTGAAGCCCTAACATACTTGCATCGGTTTATTGATAACTTAAATTATTTTATTTCATTTTATTTTATTTTTTGAATTGGGTATCCACCCGCTGCCACTCCCGGAAGGACGCTTGGCGGCGTGACTAATCATCGACTGATCTAGAAGAGGCACCCACCCCTGAAACCTCCTGACTCGCACTTGATTGGGTCCCACTTAAGAGACGCTGCAGCTCGAGAGGAATCGAGTATGGGTTTGAGGGTTTCCAACCGTACTCGCCCACCAACCAAGCTAAACAACGATGGGTAATAAAAGAACAACAGATGCTCTATCACAAACTGGATTTGCATTGCATCGGCAGAATCATTCATACAGGCTTTAGAAAATTTCATCATACGTTGCAGTTTAAGAAAATATTAAGCTACATTAATATTTTCAATACTGCATCAATTTCTCAGATTTTCTTTTACGCATAAATTCATGAAGCATCCTGCATAAAGCTGTGTAAGAATATAGCACCTAAAGATACAATTGCATTATAAACCTTTCACCTCAACTAAAAAATATTAGGGACTTACCACATCACTCTCAATTCGAACACCACCAAAGTTCTTGAATCTATCTAGTTCTTCCTTTTTAAGGAATTTCGACAAATTTGGATGCTCCAAAGCAGGATTTAGAAGAGCATCAATGAAATAGCACCCTGGCTCCACAGTTATCACCTGAAGGACAGGCAACAGTTCAATGTTTGTACGAAATTCACAAAATTAATATGCTTTTATTGTTCGAGCATAAAAAGATAATGAGCACAAAGAGTCTATAAATGACACATGCCAAGCATGAGCATATCTGATGCAAAGCGGAAAAACAGATCGAATAGAGAACCCAAAGTCCAACGGTAGATAGACAGAAGAGAGGATGTGAGAGGAAAATAAAATTTTAATTCATTAATAAATTTATGCAAAGTACAAGTACAAAATCTCTATTTATAAAATAGAGTTATAGAGATAATATCAAGAATTTTGAACTCAAATTTTAAATAATTCAAAATTCAATCATAATATTATCAAAATTCAATCATCATATTATCAAAAAGGATAATTAATACTAATTTCAATTATCATAAATTCAAAAATACTAACTTAAATGAAATAATTGGCATAAATCCTAAAATAACCAAAACTTAATTTCTTTTCAGCATTAATTCCCTTGGGCCCAATAATACTGTTTCTGAAGTGTTATGTAGAAGACTTTTTGCTGGGAAGCCTGATAAAGATGCTGGGGGAACTACTTCATGAACATCCTTTATATATTTATTAGTTAAAAAAAGTAGAATCTTGAGGCTACAAATGTCCATTCCCTTCATAAGGCCATATTTGATCAGTTGTTTAGAAATTCTAATACTTTCTTGTCCATGAAAACAAATCAATATGGCAGTGCGTATACCAATTTGATGGAGACAATTGTAGAAAGATAATATTAACCTGATAAAGTAGATGACAATAACAATAGAAAATTGCGGAGAAACAATAGTGAACCGAAGCTCCAACTACAGTAACAATTTTCCAGCAACATCTCTTGTTCAAGCCCACCTTCAAGCATAAAATAATTCATCATCATGCACAGGTTCATACAGAGGGGAAGGTATTGGGATTGGTGGAGTTGGTGGTGGGGCAATAGAGACTGGAGTGGTTGGACTTAATATGATTCTTGAACTTTTGTCATCCACAAATATATATTTTTTTCTAAACTCTTTGGAACATTAACAAAAGTTTTAGATTAAGCTGGAATGAGTTTCCGATGAGATCAGGAATAATTAAAATCATAATAAAATCCATAAACAATTGAATAATCCTCAACTGCATCATGATGCATCTTGGAAGTAAAACCAGCAAATAAAAGAGAAAAAAAAAATCATAGGAACGCAAAGATAATGACTGTTTTCTGACTTCTCATTCAAAAACAATGCAAGATACAATTAATCTACTATTCAAGAGATAGATCAGCTTTCCCACAAACCCTAGACCCTGCTAGGAAACTCATAAAGAAAACTACAACAGAAAATAAATGGCAAGCTACCAAAATAACAACATAGTTGGTCCTTTCGCCTCCCGGCTCGGTGAAGATGCCGCTCCCTCATTTTATTCCTCGCACAGTGGAAATGTTAAACCCTCCTGCTCCTCGCATGATGAAGATGTTGCTATCTCCTTGGCTAGTAAGTTTTTTTGCCACGGTGTAGATGTCATCCCTCCTTCAGCTCCCCACTACGGCAAAAATGTTGTCCTCTAGTCTCCTTGGCTAGTAAGTTTTTTTGCCCAAAGACTTTTTGTAGAACTCTTCCCCAAGAGCTCTACCATCCCAACATGGAGGACCCAAGGTGTAGGCTGATCGAAACAATCGTGTGGCTCCCTTGCACCCCTTGACATTCTCAAGGAATGCTCCCTCAACCTCAACTCCTCTCTCTCCCAAGCGGCTTGGACACCTTCATACAAGCAAGAAGGCTCCCTCTTCTTTTCTAAAGCTCTCTCTCTGAAAAAATATCCTTGGTTGCTCAACCTCAGACCCTTAAGTTGACGGACACAGGGAGCTTTGGAGTCATGATAGGGATGGGGAAGGTGGAAAAGAGTAGAGGTTTTTGCATGAGGTTAGTGCTGAAACTCCAAGATATATAGATAGCTGAGGATTTTCTTCCATTGGAGTTAGGGAGCACAGATGTCATTTTGAGCATGAAGTATGACCCCGCCAGTCGAACAAGATCACAAGAACACGATACTACCTTGCGTAGCCAGAAGTGGGATTATCACCTCCGAGTCCAAAAGACACAGAAGTATTCCAATTACTGGCGAAGCTGGCTGTCGTTTCCTTACTCAGACGTAAGGAAGGGAATAGTTCACCACCTGAATCAAAAAGGATCCAAGATACAGAAAAACAAATCCCAAACACAGGATAATTAGCAAAACAATCTTCTCTGCTTTATTCCAGTAAAAGACTAATATATATATACATGGCCAACAGACCGAGACAGAGTAGGCTACAGGAATAAAAGAACTAAAAACCAAAACAGAGCAGGCTATAGGAAGAAGAACAAAACAATCTAAACAGAATACATGTATGTGACGCTCCGGCGTCAAAGTAGTTGCAAACCCTGAGAGAGACTAAGGTGGACTGGAAGGCATTGACCATGCAATTTATGGAGGGAGGAAGGTGATGATCAAGGAATATCCTAGTTTATATAAAACTAGGGTTTCTCTTAGGATCTTGGTAAGGGCAATCCAAGGAACATGGATGGAACTATTGGTGGAGCTCTAGAGCCTTAAGGGAGGGGAAGGAACGGAGAAAGAATAGGAGATTTCATAGATAGTCCAACCACTCCTGCAACAATTCAGTGAGGTATTCTAACTGCCTCAAGGCCTACCTCCATGCCATTAACCTGAGAGAAGGGGGTATCCCCTATTAGTGTTTGGTTCGACCGGTACTCAAAGATTCAGAAGGATGAAATTGGGAGGCTAATGAAAGAGGTGTTGGAGGCCCAGATCATTCGTCCCAGTGCCAACATTTTCTCTTGCCCTGTGTTGCTAGTGAAGAAGGACGTTAGTTGGAGATTTTGTGTAGACTACTGAGCTCTGAATAAGAAACGGTGTTGGATAAGTTTCATATACCAATCATTGATGAGTTGCTATATGAGTTTTATGAAGCGGTAATATTCTCCAAGATTAATTTGAAATCATGATAACATTATATCAGAATGCGGCCTGTAGACATCCACAAGACAGCTTGCAGAACTCATTAAAGCCACTACGAGTTTTTAGTGATGCTTTTTGGGCTGACCAATGCTCCAGCTACTTTTCAATCGCTAATGAACAAGGTATTACAACCCTACCTCCGCAAATTTGAATAAAATTTCGATGACATCTTGATGTATAGCCGACCAAGTAGAGCATGTGGAGCACATGAGAGTCGTGTTAGTGACATTAAAGGAATATCAGTTGTATGCGAATTTGAACAAGTGATCCTTTGCACAACGGAGGGTGAAGTATTTGGGACATGTGTCCAAATCAAGAGAAGCTGCAGATCTTGGGACTCACAGGATACTACAGGAAGTTTGTGAGGGGATATGGCTCTATAGCATGGCCATTGATAAAGAAACTAAAGAAGGATAGTTTCAACTGGAGGGAGGCAACCACCTAGACATTTGAGCAGTTGAAGAAAGCCATAACGAGTGTCTCTATGTTAGCACTACTAGATTTCAACTAGTTATTTCTAGTGGAGAGTGATGCATCAAGCTATGGTTGGTGGCAGTCCTTATGCAGAGTCAAAGGTCCATAGCTTATTGTGGGCTCCGAATTCGGCCTCGGCCTCCACTTGATTTGCTTTTATTCTACAGGGGAGTTTTAACGGATTAAGTTCCAGGGTAAATTTTGGAAGGCAAATGGGTTTGTAGATAAGACACTACCCAGAGATTTTGCCCTCATTTTGTAAGGACTTTATGATTTCAGTTCTGGTTTCCTATAGGCGCAAACCCCTATAGTTAATTACCCTTCCCGATAACAAGAGAGAACTTTTGATTAAGGCTAGTCGTCAATCAGATACGTAGAAAATACGTGTTATCTGGCATATAGTAGCAGCAATGGGTTTGGGATTTGGAAGTTCAAGATTTGAAAGATTTGATATTTAAAATTTGAAAAATTTCACCATCCTGCACTTAAAGCGGATGGTGGGGGGAATGGATAATAGACCCGATCAAGATCTCATGGTTCCGTCGTCCCGGGCAATCGTGGTCCCTAGTCTACTTGGTCAGAGGACGTAGTTGACCCAACATGACAGAAGGATCCTTGTCGGCAGCCATGTGTTGCTTCGTCCAAGAGTATCTTGTAGACCTGGGTTGGATGTTTGTCTAAGGGAACAAATTTGAATCCACCTTAGCTAACAGAGAGTTTCGTGCCCTATCGATCATATCATATTGATTCATATCTCAAGAATTTGATGCTACTAAGGAACGTATTAGCTTTGGCCATAACCGGTATTTCGTGGTGCCATTTGGCGGCAAAATCACTTGGTTTAGAGGGCTCCGGGTCATAACCGTTTATCCTGCAGTGTCATTTGGAGGTAAAACTGCCGGCTAGTAGACATGTACTACGCCCTTATTGAGAAGAGATTGTTTGAGAATGGATCCTAGTGATATTTTCGACCATGCATTAAGCTCTATGTGAGCTAAAGTTATTTTCGAATTTGTCCACCTTGACAAACTATTGCGAAGGGTGGGTGGATTTTGTTTTGATTGTTTGATGATTTAATTTCAATTTTAAATATTTGAGATTTTTTATTAATTTTTTTGGAATTTGGACTTTGGGTGGCATTATTGAAAATTTGGAATTAACCCCTCCGATTTAGATTTGCAATCAATACGGCCATCATCGTGGTGACTTTGAGGTCACTTGAAAATATCTGAATTTTGTGAAAGTTTGAAAGCATTTTGAAGTATTTGAAATTAACTCTTCCGGTTGAGATTTTTGTTTAACACGATCATCATCGGGGTATTTTGGGTCACTTTCATTTGTGGATTGAACATTGTCAACTCTGCTTAAACTGTCAACAAAGGATCGAGTTCGTTGCTGGCTTTGTGCCTTTATTAGTGAATTCTCATTATTATAGGTCTTGAAGGCCTAATATGAATGTATTAAGACAAATATATAGGTCGCCGCAACCGTATATTTGTTTGATGGTTTAAACCTTGTCGACTTCTATTGATCCGCTTAGAAGGATCGGATTCGAACTTGAATTCACTTATTGACCCACGCAGCATCCCTAGACGCCACGTGTGATCCTACAACACGCTCGTCAGGGTCCATGCGGGTGTATGATTATATTTGCCCCTTTTTGTGTACTTATATGTATACAAACTACAGTGCACGTGCGAGGAAAAATTTTGGACATTTGACGAGTCTTCTATAGCGGCTCATAGGAAGTCGTATTTGTCGTAGCCCTTTTGTATTTGCCCGTTTTATACAGATAGACTGTCGTGCACTGCTTGCTTTCTGCAGGTGGAATTTAGTGCACTAACGAATCTCCTGCTAATGCTTGTAGATAATTATATCCACCATAGATAAGACACCCTTGTTTATGGTTGAGTTGCTTTACATATAAATCTTCTAGCGCCAGTCACAGGAATTTGTATTTGTTATATTATTCTACACTTTGTTTATGGTCGACACACTGTTATACAAAGAATTTTCTACGATAGCTCATATGGATTTGCATTCGTTGTAGTCATTTAATATTTTGCTTGTGGTTAATATATTGGGTGTATGACGAGTCTTCCTCAACAGATCGTAAGTGCGCACATCCGTTGTACTCATATAAGATTGTGTGCGTAGATGACATTTTGCATACATGACGGATCTCCTACAACCCTGCAAACATTTATATTTATTGCTTGTTATACCTTGTATGTTTGAGTTCATCACATGTCACCTATCAAATTCTTCTGCTCATAGGCGACACACTTTTTCAGCAATTTTGCGTGATGTGCATACTTTAATTAGGGGTCGTACAATCCGTAACGCATAAGAGTGTGCTTATGTTTATTTTTTAAGGCACATGTTCATGGGATGTACAAGTCGACTAACTTTAATAGCTGGCGTACACGCTATTTAAAGCACCTGTGACTTGTAAAAGTGACGGACGATTCCCACTTTATTATGAAGCATTTGCTCAGAATAATTATCGGGGATGTGCAGGGATACTTATGTATTTACAATTAACATAAACACATTTTGTAGGAAAGGTAAAATTTTTTTACTTTTATTTTTACTTTTACCCCCATTTTTAAGATAATTACCAACCGTATTCAGATGTATTTACGCTCGTATTTCACCAGCTGGTGAATACTCTAATAGGAATCCAAGGATAAAGCCTCGAAATGGCATCTTAGGATTCTAAGATGGTGGGGCCCGCAGGCGTACCTTCTTTGTCTTTTAGCAAGAGGATCCTAGGCTGGCGGGGCCTACAGGTATAACTTCCCTGTCCTTTAGCAAGGGGATCCTAAGTTGGCGAGGCCCACGAATAATACGAATTCAATTTTATAAATAGGAGGGGAGACCTAGCTCATTCATTCACATTCCATTTCTGTAAGAAGCTTTGGTCAGGAACTTAAGTGTGTGCAAGTCAAAAGCATGAAGGAAGAGGCTTGATTCAAACCTATTGGAGAACGACTAATTCCCTTACAAGTTCACTGCAAGTTGTATTTCACAATTATTTGTATTTCTTATATTTTTAATTTTCAGTGCCGGGAGCCTAGGGTGTCGTATGTTTTATTTTTGTTGACTTAGAACTTTAGGTGAATTTTAATCTTTTTGAAATTTTCCGAGTCATGGGTTTTGTTGAAAATTTTGGCAGCATCCCAACATTGTCCCCGCATAAAGTGAGAACAAGTAGGATGAAAAGCTGAGTAAGATCATATGAGACTTACTACCAGACAAAGACAACCATCCTGGTTACTCTTTGATGGATTAGAAGCTATTATACTAGGGACAGTTTGGCTTCTAAGGACATCGCCACACATCCCTCAGTTATTGCAAGAGTTTCATGTCACATCTATTTGGGGACATTCAGGAGTCCATAAGATATATCATAGACTAGCAGGGGAGCTTTATTGGGTGGGCATGCAGAAGGATGTAGAGGAGTTGGTAACCAACTATGATGTATGTTAGAGACAAATACCTAGCTATGGCTCTAGATGATCTTCTACAAACATTAGCATTGAGGGTCATTGTTTGATTAACGAAGGACATTTTTCCGGATAGAGAGCTAGTCTTCTTGCTTGTAAGAGGGTGTCAAAGCCACTTGGGAGAGAGATGAGGTGAGGTTGAGGGAGCGTTTTGCTTGAGGGTGTCAAGGGGTGTGAGGGAGTCACACGATTGTTTCGACCAGCCTACACCTTGGGTCCTCCATGTTATGATTGTGGAGCACTTGGAGAAGACATCTCAGCCGTAGCGAGGTGCTGAAGGAGGGACGTCATCTGCGTCGTAATAAGGAGCTAAAGGAGACGATAACATCTTCATTGTACGAGAAGCAGAATGAGGGTTTAACATTTCCGCTGTGCAAGGAGCAAAATGAGGGAGTAGTATCTTCACCAGTCTAGGAGGCGAAATAAAAGAGATTCATCATGTTCAAAAGAGTGTGTAAAGGTCATTCTATACCTAGTGAGGAAGAAGTGTTTCTTCACTTTGCGGCGTGCTAAAGAAGCGTAAGTTAGTGTAAGAGGATGACCTTTGGGGAGTTGACATAGGTTGATTCGACCGAACCACTATGAAAATCAAGTTTGTGTTTTTTTTACTTTCTTGTAATTACTTTCCTTCACTTTGGTTACTTGGTTAATCTTTGAAAAAGTTTTGGTTGAGGATATTCTCATTAAAATTTTAGTTAAAAGTTAAAAACAAAATATTTTTCTGAAAGTTTGAAAAACAAAAATATTTGTTCATATTTTTTTTACTTTGAAATTTTTTTTATAGCTTTTGCATATCACTCTGATTTGATATAAAAAATATATAAAAACCAATTAACTCCCCCCCCCCCCCCCCCCCCCCCCCCCCCCCCCTCTCCACCCGCGTGCACCATAGCACTTTCACTATACACTAATAGCTAATTATAAAAATAATAATATATGGCAGGCTTCTATTAGATGTACAGTTATGATCAAAATCATCATATATTAGATAAAATAAAAGGGAAGGCTGTGATTTCATTTGGGAAGAATCACAAGCCACTTTTATAATAATAGTATAGATATAGATATGCCCTTGATGTATGCGAAAATTGAGACCAATCATTTGGATTTTTAAACTAAAAATCATCATGCAATCTAATATGAGTTATACAAAAGAAAATTATATAAATTTCACAAATAATTTTAATGTTACAAACTAAATTTCATAATTTATTAATATCATGACTACCATCAGCATAACTAGTATAATTAAATCTTTTTTCTCTTATTATAATCTATAATCATAACATCACCTATTATAGTAAAGTAGTTTTAACATTGCATGTTGATCAATATAAAATTTTTTATTTGAGAGTTTAAATTATGTAAATGTTACATTAAAAGAAAAGCATAAAATTTAGTGTTGCAAATATGAGGATGCTTTGGTGATGAGTGGCTATATACTTAGAGACAGAATGTGAAACAAGCATATACATGAAAAAGTTGGAGTAGCTCCAATGGCATATAAGATTAGAGAGAGTAGTCTAAGATTGTTTAGTCATATAAAATGTTGGCCATCCAATGACCCTGGTAGGAGAGTATCTAAATTAGATCCGTTTTATATTAAGAAAGGTAGAGGTTGACCTAAAAAGACTTGAATAAAAAGAATTAGAAATGATCTTTATTTTAGGTAACTATTAATAGGACATAATGAAAAAAAAAAAAAAAGATTCATATGACCGACCCCACATAATGGGATAAAGGCATGATGTTGTAGATTAAATTATGTAAATGCTACTTTTCTTACCCATCAAATGTTATATTTGGATGTTCAATATAACTTTTAAAACTTTCGTATAAAAAAAAAACTCTAAAGATACTTGGTAATTACTATCTAATTACTTGTTACCTTCAAATTGTGATAATTGTAATTTTATTATTTGCTGTTTTATTTTAATTTATTTGGTATTTTAGAGCTGTAAGGATTTGTTTGTGTTACCAAACTAAAAGAGAATTATACACACAACTCATTAATTGGGATTTCATAGGTTAAAATTTGGATTTGTAATGAAGATAACAAGCTTCCCTTCAAAATAGGTCACAGTTTTGTTTTCTTTAACTCAACTCTTAAGTTCGTCCACTATCTCCTATAGTTCTAACTAAAATATCAAATCTTCTCTCACCATACTTCTCCTTTAAAAAATATCAATAATATATACATAAAAGAAATTTATATGACTGCTAAATCATATTTTGATTTTTATTTTACATATAAGTAAATAAATATTTTTTTAATATAATACTTTTTAAAGTTGTGTTTTATTGTGTTCTTATTTATTTTAAAATCTTAATCATGACTCCTCAATGCTATCTAAAATCAATTAAAATACCTACATTAACTCCCTAACATCTCAAACCTTTGATATGGAGTTCCTCATCTGTTTTTCTTTAAAAAAAAATTCATTTCAAAGCCTGACGATTTTAGATGTGCTTGATATTGATGAAATTCTGTTTTGCAAGAATGAAATAATCGGCACAGTCAAATATTGGGAGTCTGAACATCACAGATATGCTAGATATTGCTGAGACTATTTTACGATAATGGAATATGAAGTATATTCAAGGAGCTTCAGACACATCACAAATCCTAAATTAAAGTTCCTGGTTATCATTTAAGTTAACGAATCTCATATTAAAGGCTTACGATTGACAATAATGAAAAAATTCACTAACCATTCCCTCCTTCAGTTCCCTGATTGTTCTTAAAGAACTCAGTCCAGGCTCTTTGGGCCTTTCCATTCCCTGCAAGAAGCATCAGCAAAGCTTGTCAAAAGTTAAAGCAGCAAAAGTGAAAGGGTAATATGATAATAAATGATTGTTAGACATAACCGTTATCTGGAATTAAAGAATACTGAAATACAAGAGCAAAATCAAGCACCTTAGTATAGCCACCAGGATCATGAGTGTCGATTCCAAGCAAGTGTCCAAGACCATGAGGCAGGAAAATAGCACCTAACCTTTCTGCCACCATTTCATCAATATCACTAGAAAAAGGCTGAAGACATGAGTTCAATTTGCTTAACAATTTTTCACTAGGTCAATAAAAAATTTAAAAATAAATACCCAACAATGATTCCGAAAGTCTCAAGTGATTCAAGGATTATCTTTTCTGCAAGCCTGAAAAAGAGAACATAAGTATGTACCTTTAACCAACGGAATTTTACTTATTCACATAACATGAAAAATATTATGATGATACATAAAAAGAACTGAAAATAGATTGAAATCAAGAATAACACTGAAAAGCATCTATTTGCAATCATAAGTCCAGTATTTAAATGGTGCTAAAATTTCTCAAGTACCTCAACAGCAAGTATGGATAGTGATATGCCTTTACCAGGTTTTTTTTTTTTTAATACAAGGAAAGAGTAACTGTTCCTGATGCCTAAGCTCTTATATTCACCAACTCTCAGAGCAAAAAACAACTATAGAGGACTTCCACGTTTCTAAACTCTTGTACCTCAAGTTCTTTAGAATGCAAAAGAACATAGGAATGAGTTACCAATTTCATCCCTTATATAAAATCTTATAACCCAATATTGATGCAAGCAAACTAGAGAGAAAAGACAAGTTGGAGAACACCAGGACAAAATATTAACCAAACTCGATTCACTATAGCTTGCAAACAACCAAACAAACATTCGAAGAAACAAAAGTCAAATCAAACGAAACAAAATAAAATCATAAAAATGCTATCCTCAGAACAACCGAGTAGCGGTTTCCTCACATGCAACGAGAGTAGGAAAATATAATAAAATTGTGCTTAGGCTTGCAAACGGAGGGTCCACCACTGCAAAAGGTTCCAACGTCCTACCAAACTCCTCCGGCAAATGTCTCCAAATTTCAGCCAACAAACAACTTCTAAAGCTCAAGAAGAAGGAAACAGGGGGAGTGGAACTTGCATAGAGAAGAAGAGGTTAGAAGCCAAGATGAATTAGAGAGGAGGAAAGGGGGGTGGAACAAGCTCTAAAGCTTTTCCAAGAAGAAACCCTCAGGTTTTTGTAGAGTTTTTACTCATATTTTCAACAACCTTTTCTATCCCAAAACATCTCTATTTTATAGGCAAAGGAAAGAAGCTAAACAGCCATAGCACCTCCAACCAAATCCAAACAAATTTAGGGAAATGAAAAGACCAAAAGATATCACAACATCCCACAAAACTGCACAGAAAACAGGGATAAAGAAGCACGGGAAACCTAGCCATAAGTCATGGGAAGCCCAGCCAGCAAGGGACCCGAAGAGCCAGCACAGGAAACAGGGCAGCACATCACGGGAAAACAACCAGAGGGGGTAAAACCGAGAGGGACTGACCACGGGAACAGCAACAGCCAACAGAAATCGAAAAGACAAGGGGAAGGGAAGAGACATAAGTCCACTCCACAATAATGAGCTTATATAGAAGTATACCTTTGTAATGAACCGAATGAGTGGCCGGTTCAACCGAACCGGCCAACCCATCTTTTAATAGCCGTGACCCCAAAAAGGGGTCGGTACTGGCTGTTTCGCGAAACAGGAAGTGGAGGGGGGGCGGACGACCGACATTTCACGCGAAAGCTTGGGGAGATTTTCTTATGCCATTTTTAGCAAACGATCACGTTAGAGGGTAAGATTAAACAACTCCTTTTCGTTCCTATTGCTATATAAGTAAAGGTTTGAGAGAAACGACAGTGGAAGAGAAGAACAAATTGGGAGGAAATTGGGAAAAAGTTTGTTTTCCCAAATCTTTTATAAATTGTTCCTAATATTTTCTCTAATTAGTGTAAACATTTAATTTGATAATAAGGAAGACATTTGGAAGCAAGGAGAGGAGATCTGAGGGAGAAAGAAGAAAGTTTTCAATAAGAAAGAAAATTTGTTATGAGGTATGAAAGAAATTCAATACTTGTTGAATTATTCAAATTGAGATTTAACATTAATAAATTTGTTCTATTCTTGTGAACAGTTAACGACTTCCAAACTGCACGATTATTGGAAGAAGAACTAAAGTGGGTATTTATAAAAGTTTAAATTTCCTTTATTTCATTCTTTATTTTCATTTTGAAAGAAGTAGATATTTAATTGTTTAGACTTATAATTTCTTTTACCGTTGGAAATAATTATTTGAAATAAGAAACGATATGCACGAAAACAAATATGTAACAAAAAAGAGTATGTAGAAATGAGTATGTCAAAAAAATATAAAATAAAGTTTAGAAAACAATCATACATATGTATATGATTCATACATGCAAATAAAAAGTATATATACATATGAACGCATTATACATGAAGGGATGAAAAATAAATGAAAAAGGAAAAGGATATACGTGAAAAGTACAGGAGTCACTCACGTATGGTACTGGTTGAGGAAGCAACCTACCTGTGCACGAGAAATAAAAATGGAAAAGGAAAAAGAAATGAAAATGGAAATGTATGTACCTTTGATACATTGAGACGATATTCATGTACAATTAAATGAGAAAGGGAATGTATATTAAAGTAACTCTTTTAAGTATGTAAATGAAAATTTTATAATGTGCATAATAGACCGTATAAAATAAAATGAATGTAAAGAAAAGTATGCTACTTAGTAAATGAATAGACTTACAAAAGAAATAAATTTTATTGTAATTGTAAATGATTATACATTGAGTTTACTTAGTAAACTCAAAATATGAATTTAAATGTTTCAGGTAAGTTCCTAAGAAAAAAAATGGCTGAAAGAGAAGAATTTGTCTACAGAAGGCGGCGTGCAAATGACAACAGGTAAATATTGTGTTTTAGTGGCTATTCAGTATAAATGAAGAAGTAGTAAAATGTTTAATGAATTTTATCATCCGACTTTAAGTACCCGCCTCGTTAGATCGAGCATCCAGGCCGGGTCGTGACAACCTTTTTGATTTAATGAGCTAAGAAGTGCATTTATTCCACCAATTATTGAGTTAAACTTCAGCTCAAACATTAATGAGCTAACACCAAGTATAATCCAGATTTTGAGCTCAACACCAAGAAGCCAAGGCCTAACCCGTGAGCAGCAAACATCTTCAAACCGAGAACAGCAAGAAACCCATGGACAAGAAGGAACCAAATGCAAGAAAACACAAGGCTTTCCATGCCCAAGCTCTTTCCTACCATGATCATTGGATAGCTAATAAAAACATAAAACACAACTATATATTGTTCAAAATACATTAAAACAAAATAGACTAAAAACATGAATGCATCAAATATTAAGCCTAATTAATATGAGTGCTGCCCTAAAATGAACTTACCATAAACTATTAGTTCTCTAATCCTACTGAAATCATTGGAAGCACATACCATGAGCTATTGTGTGCATGCTTCAAAGGTTTTAGAGCCATAAAGAACATTCATACATGTGATGGCTTGCATTCATGCGGTAAATAAGGTCCAAGCATGAGCAATTTTAGGGAAGGAAAACGGCTGTGGTGCAATTAAATTACCCACTTTGGTGTGAACAAGCTGTTTGTTTAAAAGAGTTGATTGGTATGAGGCCAAATGAGTGTTAAGATAAAAGATAAATGAATTTAGTTGTGAGAAGAAAAAGTAATGCCAAGTAAAATTTCACTACATTCCAAATACATCAGATACCCTTATGATTTACCTACAAAATAGAGGCCGTCAAATCCACTGCATCTACATTAATTTGCAGAGAATCACCTTCCTCTACAGTTTTGTTGCTTCCCCATGATGTCGCAACTTCCAGGTTTCTTCATTGACTGCAACAATCACACCAATCATTTGCAATCACAACTCTTGGCATCTGATTCAAGCATAAACAACCTAAGCATCCTTCCCAAACATGGCAACTCTAGCACGCCTTTCCACTACAACTATTCTCGCAAACAAAAGATAATGCTATCAAAAGGGATGGCGTTCATGGTGGTATGTTGTTGGATGGAAGATTCAAGTACATGCAAATTGGTATTAAAGCCCAAGAGTAAAAATAACCTTATTATCATTATTTCTGTATCAAATGTTGGATGACATATTCTTGTAGAGATAGATATCACACTTTTTTATGGCTCTCCTTTAGCTCAATAATCATGTAGGTGCAGTCGAGACCATCGTGCATACCTCTTAGTTTACACTCAAGACTCGGAGAAGATGAGGCCATTAGTAAATATGAGAAGAGTGATCCTTATAAAAAACTTATCAAAGGTATAAAATTTGTCATCATTTTGCATGTTGTCAAGATATTATGAGAAGCACTTCAAAGCTTAGGCAGAGAGAGTATATCCATGTCTTAACCATTTACTTCTTTGAAAATAACCCACTATGTCATAATTAACTTGGATGGAGAAAAGGGCTTGGCAATGCATCAAGTCATTCAGATGATGAATTTTCCAGGGAATTCTTTCATCTTGATTGTTTTTAAGATGTAAAATTTATAACGATGCCCTTAAGCATGACCACTTTGATCCACATGAAACGCAATAACTTTTTGGAGCTGAATGAAATAGCTCATGAGCAAGGAGAAGAGATGCTAATGTCTACTAGGAATGAAAACTAAAATAATTTTTTTTTTCACCAACTGAAACATCACAGCCTTTATAAAATTAACAAGAAACTTTGATATAGATAGACATTTGCATAATGAAATAAGTGCAATCAATAATTGTTTTGAGGCATCTAACATTCTAGCAAAGCAAAAGGGTTATCATAAAGATGGACTTCTATGTCAAAACCCAGCTCGGAGGCGAGAACAGACGACCTGACAGTTGATTAAATTTTTGTCTACTAATTATCTATTTCTAAAAGAGCCAATAAAATTTCAATTTTTTTATTTAATAAAATTTTATAACTATTTTGACAAATATTTTTCTCTAAAAGCATCACACCTACGATACACATTATTTTTTCTACTCATTTAACCTCTTCGTCTTCCTCCATTTCGCTGTCACGGCGCCAAGCAATGATAGCAACGTGGTTTCATCAACCTCTTCATCTTCTGTTTAGGCAAGATCGGGATATTACAATCAGCCTCTCCGTCTTCCATCTCAGTAAGATCGAGATATTACATTCCACACCTTAAATTTGTTTGGACAAATTCTCAGATTACTACTAGCTATAACTCTGTTGAGGCTCATATATAGAAGAGGCTTCAATTTGCAATTAAATAGTTTATGCTTTGAGGAGTTGACTTCATGTGCAGCATCAACATAAAGTCCAAGAAAAATAATACAAACTAAGGCACTACATAAAGATTTTGGCTCTAAGCAAGTTCATGAATGACCCCTCTTTCCTCCAACAAAAGCAATATGGCATAGTTAGAAAGCTTCTAATCAAATCGCTTAGGCTAGGGTCAACCACATCAAGGAAGGAGGGATATTGGAAGATTTCATGCTCTCAAGACTCCTCTCCAAAAAATTCACCGTGCCATCAATGTGAAAGAAGGAAACTACCTATGGATAGTGCTATAGGCTTCCCACATCGCCACATACTTGCATAAATTCTTCCACTTAATCAACACTTCTCTAATCCTCTTGTCTCCTTGGCGCACACCTTGAACCTCCAGTGGTTCTAATAATTACCTCCATATCTTCTAACAGTGTAGACAGTAGAGCGAGCGAGAGTGTATGGCCTCCAATGGCTCATCTCAACTGCGACATATGAAATACTAGATGGATGGCTAAGTTGATGGCAACTGTAGGCAGTAAGCAACCGCGCCAATCAGCCTGTCAATCTTATCCTTCTAAACCTGTGGGTAGAGATTTGGTCTAACGCTAATGGAAGTGACTACTTCCTACAGAATAATAGAGTGCTTGTGCTCCCATGGAGTAAGCAATCCTTGAGGAGGTTGGAATATCTCAGTGAACGACTGGAGAAGTGGCTAAAATTCTTCTAGAATGTCTTCTATATCTCGAGTATCTCCTCCCTCCAAGCTCTGGAATCCCAATCCTTCACCCTATATGGCATGCACCATGGTTTTCAAGGAAAACATTGCTTTGGATAAACAAGGGTCTCCCTTAATCACTACCTTTCTCCCCTCCACTTGGATCTCCATAACTAAGGCCTTCCAGTACACCTTGGCCTCCCCCAAGCTTTGTAGTCGCTTCATACCCAAGATTAGATCAGTACTTACCAACTCCAGTGGAAAAAAATCCTCACTGATGTGAATCCCTTGAAACTCCACCACCAATCCCTGACAAATACCCCTGCTGTTCTCCACCTTCCATGTGACCATCATCACCCCAAAGCCTCCCAAGTCTACCAACTTTAGCCCAAGCCTATCAACCACCTGATTGAATATGAAACTGTGGTCAGCCCCACTATCCACCAAAATCACCACCACTTCCCCGCCTATCTTTCCCCTCATCTTCATAGTGTGATTCGGGGTGAATCCCACTATAGAATTCAATGAAACTTCTGCCACCTCCATGTGTAACGACTCCTCTTCCTCTAATACTTCTCTTCTGTCTCTACTCTACCTATCTCCTCCTCATTACAAACAGAAAGGACCGGCAAGGTGTAATGTTTACACCTACGGCCCGGTGTAAACTTCTCATCGCACCTAAAACATAGCCCCTTAGCCCCCATGCAGCACCATATTAGTCGGTCGTCTAAAGTTCCCTCAAAGCCAAGCTTCCAAACATTTCTCCTTTGGAGCTTCCCTTTGACCCGATAGAACTTGCAACCTAAGTGCAAGGAAGGTGGTCGTCATGCGCTAAGAACCTCAAACTACCCCCTTTGCTACTCGTTTCAAGTGAGTTTGTGGCCTCCATCAACTGGGTTAACTCCATAACCTCTCCCAAGTCACGGGTCTTGCCACCCGCACAGTAGCTCTCAACTCTAGTTTAAGCCCCTTCATTAAATTTCTTTCTAACATTGTCTCTAGTAGTCTCCCTAAACATCCCTACAGAAGCTCAAAGCACTCTCGATACTCCCTCACCGTTCCCACCTGTGTCAAAGCAATGAACTGCTCATAATGGTCCCTTTCCTACTTGATTCAAAAGCGCTCTAATAAATGGTCCTTGAACTCCTCCCATGAACGAATCAGGTACCTCATCTCCCTTCATGTGTACCATGTCAGTGTCTTCACCTCAAGACATAGAGTTGTCGCCATTTCCCTTCTGTCAACCCGTTCACCGCAAAATATCTCTCTACTCTATAGATCCACCTATATGCATCATCGCCTTCAAACCTTAGCATTTTCACCTTCCTGACCTTCAGATCTTTAGTGGTTTCTTTACTCTTTGTTGAAACTTAGTGGTTGTTCACCTAAGGCATTAACAAATTCTTTGTTAACCCCTATACTTCTTTCTCGTCTCCACCCAGCACATCTTCCCTCTCCCACAAAGCTAAGCTTGGTCACCCCTAAACCCTAACCTCTCCCAACCACCAGACCATTCCAACACCTCCAAATATCTCCTCTATACTTCCCCTACAACCCCAAAAATTCCCAAAAGCCTGGACTTCTCATCAACCCCAGGATACCAGGCCAAAGGCCAAATACAAGGTGACAATTTCCATGCATGAGCACCAAGTTAAAAATATTACAACTCTTTGATTACTGATCCAAAATCTATAAAACAACTCACTTAATTTCCTAACATCTCAAGCCATTGATCTAGAATTCCCTACCATTTTCCTCCAAGGAAACTTACCCTTTCAAAGCCAAGAATCTTAAGCTCAACATATATTCACAAACTTAATACCCATTTTTTCATTGCCTACAAACCCTTTCACCACCACTGCAAGGGATCACCAATAACACTAGCAATGCTTATTTTTTTTCGGGAGCAGGTGGTTGTGGGTTTTTTTATGGTGAGGGATTCCGATTCCATGAATAGCTAACATTATTTGATAAGAGAGAGCCTCCTATAGAGACTAGAATAGAGATCAGTAGCACAAAGGGCTAAAGTGATTTCATTGCAAACTCTGGCATATCCTAATCGACTTCTTACAATAGTTTGTGCATCAAGCCAACATGATTTCCAATCTTAAGAGCAACACAACCGATAATCTTTTGAGTATAGAGGTGTATATGCAAACTAGAAACAAACCCAAAAAAGAACCAAGTTAAATGAATCCTTTGTAAATAGGGTGCTTGGTGTCCATCTCTTGGAACAAATGAGACTCTATAGATCATCTATAATCCAGTATCATCAATCGCTTGGCATTCATCTGGACATCTAAGTCAAACAAATAGAAGCCATTTTCCAAAGCAAAGATTTTGACACCTGCCAAATAATGCCAAGTTGTTTTAATATCCTCTATTAAAGTCATGAAATAGAGGCATTACATGTTTTTCCTTTAGGCAACGCATTCGTGAAGTGTATCCTCAAGAATAGTTATAGCCCCTTCTCCACGATGTATGGCATTGAGTGATCGCTCCAACAACCATTTCCAAAAAGTGCAGACCAGTTAAGAGTTTTACCAGTTATAATGCATGGCTCTAGATGGGAGTCATTTGGGATGCATCTAGCATAGCCAAAAATGTGTGGTACTCGAACGGTTACAAGCATAGAAAAGAGAGATTCTATTGTGGCGTTACAACAACCAACCTATAGTAAATATTATATAGCATCACAAATGAGAAGCCCATCCAGAAATCACACCAATCAGTTCAAACTAAATGAGATCAAGTGATTCACACAACGTCAAAAGAGAGTCAGGAAAAATAAAAACTTCCTCCAACAAGCCTTGCAGTTGAGGATAGGACGGGGATGAAGCAAGAAGGGAGGTGAGTTAGGAGTGGCGAGCATGGCTAGGGATGGAAATGGCAAGCGGGTCAATAGACAGTAAAAGGAACCAGCAAACTTGCATTACTTTGATAGATATAGTGATGAACTAGCAACTTTCTTTTGCGGACTAGTGTTGGCATAGCTCATTGCACAGCACAAATTACACAGCACAAGCTACACACTATGATTATCATCAAAAATACATCTTAACATTAAAAATATTATAAAGATTTTCCATAACAGGTGAAAAAACACATTACTTTCTTTCTAGTTTTATGCAAAGCTATAATGACAAACAACCAATGAGTTCCACCTTACGAGACATTGTCCTTTTAACTTAAAGAGAGATGACAAGGGTTCAAATCTCCAAAAAAAACAGACAACCAAATAATGAAGTTGCATGTAGTTGCAGATAGTTCAAATAATAAATAAAGTAGCGAATAGAATGCTATAATATTCCTATAAATATGGATTGGGGTGAAAGGATTTCCAAGGTCCAAGAGCTACCTATTTAGAAAATTTTGGTAAATTATAGACATATTCCCCCACTTAGTATTTTCTTCCTCTCCAAATTTCTACCTCTCATGAATCAGTTTTCTTCTATTCTTCTCTATACTCTAGTTAATGTTTTCACAATCTAGGGTTTTGCTAGATCTAGTGTTTTGTCCAAGAGCGCTGTCAACATAACCAATGAGGCTGCTCTCGACAATCCAGCAGCATTCCTTTAATCTTTTCAGCTCGAGATCTACAAATGCCCGGTACTTGCTCACCGATGATCTAAAATGGAAACATATAAATATTGGACCTGTTGAAAAAAGACATAGGGCAAACAGCTAAAAATAGATAAATTACTAAAATCTAAGAAACATAGACTGATAAAAACAAAAAAGAAAATTAGCAACATCCAAACCACAGCTAAAAATAACTCAGAAATTAAATACAATTAAGTATCTTAAGAATAAATATTTAAAGATGGTTTATGCTGCACATTAATTTTATTTTCTTTGTTTAGATATAAAAGACAAGCAGCCGTACTTGTGCATGTCAATCCAACTCACTCCAGGCGACATTGATTTTATAACTGAATCATGAGCCTTTAGGACAGCCTGCATTCCCATATTTCATTTAATGATTCAGAAAGCTTTAGCCTAGTTGTAATAATAAGTATATATATATATATATATATATATATATATATATATAACCAAAAAAAAACTTACATTGTATATTGCAGCCTGGTCATTAGTGAACTTTCCACTAACCTAAACAGAAAGAGGTTAAGATAAAACTCAAAAGAGCTGCAACACTTAAAAAGATTTTCTGCTCTAGAAAGAAGCAAGATTAATAACGAAATATTTTCATATTTTTAATTCAATGATCGGCACAAACCAGGTAGAGTCAAGTTCTATAATTAAACCATAAAAAATTGAAGAACGTCAACCAAAGAAGTTCTTAAAGACAATACCAGCATTATTTGAGAAAAATGTACGCGCGCATAGATAGAGATAGAAAATGGACTATTCTCTTCCTAGAAGAGAACAATCATCCTCTAGCCACTTAAATTTTAATGTTATGATTTTCAAATAATAAAAACAGCCCATTCCTCAATATCATTAAAACTAAATACATGCATAACTTAAGATTTTTCAATATCATTTGATCATCAACCAGATACTTGAAAATTTACTCAATGGATGGTTTTGATTGTATAAGGTAATTCTGATTACAATGTGCATAAACTTTCAAATAGGTCAGGATTAAAGAAATGAGTTTATAATGATATATTGAATGATTTGATTAGTGGGCTTCTTCAAGTAATGTGATCATAATTTTTTGCATGCTTGATGAATGATTACATAATTATGAAATTTTATGAAACTTGGTTCAAAAGTAATTTTCATATCGTAGATCACAATAAAAAATGCAATCTAGAGTTTGAAGACGGTGTAAAAACAACAACAACATCAAGCCTTTATCCCACTATGTGGGGTCGGCTACATGAATCCTTTTTCTCCATTCTGTCCTATTAAAAGTCAAATTCTCATTTAAATCTAATAAAGAAAGGTCATTCCTAATATTTTCTAACCAAGTCTTTTTAGGTCTACCCCTACCTTTCTTAACATAAGTAAAATCTAATACCTCTACTCTCCTAACCGGGTCATCGCAAGGCCGCCGTTTTATGTGACCAAACCATCTAAGGCGACTTTCTCTAATCTTATCTTCTACTGGAGCTACTCCAACCTTTTCACGTATATGCTCATTTCGTATCCTATCTCTAAGGGTAAAGCCACTCATCCACATAAGCATCCTCATCTCTGCCACACTTAACTTAGTATTATGCTTCTCTTTTAAAGGCCAACATTCGGCACCATAAAGCATTGCAGGCCTCACTACCATCTTATAGAATTTTCCCTTAAGTTAGGTGCAAAAAGTCGACCTCCATTAATTTACTCTCTGGACATGCTTCAATTCTCATAGTTGATCAAGGAGTAAAGTCCCATAGTCCACCTATGCCTCCGCCTCCAAAATTTGTTAATTCACTGCCAATTTTGTTTTCCAATGGTAAGTAATTAAAGGTGGAATTATTGCTCTTTGGATCCCCCTATTTCCTTGCCCGTCGTCCATCCTAGTGGGGCCCATAGCCTCCTTTGGTCCATCAATACTCCCCTCCCAAAGAGTCATCTTGTCCTGAAGGTGGAAAGAGAGAAATTGCTTATGGATGGTACTATAGGGTTCCCATGTTGTACACATTCAATTTTGTTGTGCTTTCTGTAGATGTTTCTTTAATTCTGCCAAAATCCAATCTATTTCTCCCAAGTACTACTCCACTAATAACATTGATGTATTATCATGCCCATAATGTATTAGATGATGTGGATCTCTCCTGTATAAGATTTTAAATGGCATTGTATGTGCTGTTATATGAGATGAAGTGTTATACTAATATTCCGCTCTGGCCAACCACTTAGCCCACTTCTTTGGTGTATTTGATACAAAGAAACGAAGATAAATCTCCGACCCGTGATTCACCAACTCCGTCCGGCCATCCGTCTGAGGGTGGTAAGCTATACTCTGTTTCAGGATAGTACCCTGCATCTTGAATAACTCCCTCCATCTTGAATAACTCTCTCCAGAAATGGCTCAAAAAGTAATTGTTTTGATTGGACACAATGGCCTCGGGTATGCCATGTAAATGGGCCACCTCTATAATGAATGTGGTTGCCATCGAAACCGTGGTGTATGAGTGGCATAAGGGAATGAAATAAGCATATTTGCTTAATCTATCCACTAGCACTAGAATCACTGTGAATCCTTCTGATCTAGGTAGTCCTTTAATGAAGTTCATAGTCACCTCTTCCCACACTTTCTCGGGTAATGCTAAAAGTTGTGAAAGACCACCTGGAGCAATAGCCAGGTATTTGTCTCTGATCAAAATTAGCCACCAACTCCTCTACATCCTTCTACATGCCCACCCAATATAGCTCCGCTACCAATCAATGATATATCTTTTGAACTCCTGAATGTCCCTCAATAGTTGTGCTATGAAATTCCTACAACAAGTGAGGGATGTATGGCGATGTCCTCGAAAGCACAAATTGTCCCTGGTATAGCAGCTTCTGACCCATCAAAGAGTAACCAGGATGGCAATCCTTGCCCTGCATTAATCTCCTCTAATCTTACTCACCTCCTCATCTTGCTTGCTCTCACGCTTTAAGGCCTCCCAATCCACAACCATGGGAATATATAGAGTCATAACATGAGGGTCTTCAATATGCCTGGAAAGAGCATCCGAGCATTATTTTCCAATCTGGGCTTGTATTAAATCACAAAATCATAACCCAACAGCTTGGAAAGCCACCGCTAATGCTCCTCTGTCACCATCCTCTACTATAACAAGAATTTCAAACTCCTCTCGTCTGTCCTAACAATGAAGTGTCGCTCCAATAAGTAAGGTCATCACTTCTATATTACCAACACTGTCGCCATCAGCTCACTTTCATACACGATTTCAGCCAAGCCCTACCAGTCAACACCTGGCTAAAACAAGTTATGGGTCTCTGACTCTGCATGAGAACTGCTCCTTGCCCATAGCCTGATGCATCAGTCTCCACTACAAACAGCTAGCAGAAATATGGTAATGCTAACATACCCCCACCCTACCCCCAATTTAAAACTATCTTTCTTCGGTTTATCTATCAACAACCATGCTATAGAGTTGTATCCCTTCACAAACTTCCTCTAGTACCCTATGAGTCCCAAGAAACCCCTCAACTCCTTCAAGGTTTTTGGATAAGGGCCACGCCAACATGGCATCTATCTTAAAAAGATCTTCAGCTACTCCTAATTTAAACATGTCCTAAATACTCCACTCTCTGTTGTGCAAAGAAACACTTCTTCAAATTGGCATACAATTGATGCTCCTTCAATGTCACTAACACGACCCTCAAGTGCTCCACATGCTATACCTCAGACTGACTATACATAAAAATATCATCGAAGAAAATCAATACAAACTTAAGGAGGAAGGGCTGGAATACCTTGTTCATAACCGACTAAAAGGCATCACAGAACATGTAGTGGTCCTAAAAGCAATCTTGTGGATGTCAGTGGGCCGCATTTTGATCTGACGGTATCCTAATTCAAATCATTCTTGGTGAACATCACAGCTCCATATAACTCATCTGGCAACTCATCAATGACTAGTTTAGGAAATGTATCCAACAACATTTCCTTATTCATATAACAATAACCTACACAAAATCTCCAACTATCATTCTTCTTCTTCACTAGTAACATGGGATTGAAGAAGTGACAAACAATGGGACAAATGATCTGCGCCTCCAACATCTCCTTGATCAGTCTCTTAATTTGATCCTTCTAAATCTGTAGGTATTGGTAGGGTCAAACACTGATAAGGGATACCCCCTCCTTCAAGATGATGGCATGCTCATGGTCCCTTAGTGTAAGTAGGCCTTAAGACAGCTAGAACACCTCACTAAATTGTTCTAGCAGTGGTTAGACTATATCTAGAACCTCCTCATCTTTCTCCATGCTTCCCTATCCCTCAAGGCTCTAGAATTTCACCAAGAAACTCATCCCTACTGATTGGATTTCTATTAACATGGTCTTAAGAGAAACCCTGATTTTAGACAGACTAGGATCCCCCTTAATCCTCACCTTCCTCCCACCATGAATTCCATAGTCAATGCCTTCTAGTCCACCTTGGTCTCCCCCAGGGTTTACAATCACTTCATGCCCAAAATTACATCTACGCTCCATTACTCCAAAGGAAGGAAATCCTCCCTCACCGAGATCTCCTGCAATGTCACCATTAGCCATGTCAAATGCCTCTGCTCTTCTCCACCTTCCCCATTCCCATCATCACCCTAAAACATCCTGTGTCGACCAGTTTTAGCCACAACCGGTCCACCACCTAGTTGGAGGTGAAATTGTGGGCCACCCTACTGTCCACCAGAACTACCACTGATTCTCCTCTTATCTGTCCTCTCACCTTCATGATGTGATTTGAGATAAATCGCACCATTGAGTTTAGGAAGACCTTCACCACATCTAGGTGCAAATGCTCCTCCTCAAACACCTCCTACTCGAGAGTCTCCCCCTCCTTATCACGGACTATAAGTACATAAAAAGAACGGTCCGTGCAATGGTGACATGGTGCATACTTCTCATCACAATGAAAATACAATCTCCTAGCCGACTTCTCCTGAATCTCTGCCTCAATAAACCGCTTGAAATTTCCCCCTGTCGTGCTACCAATCCCATATTATCCTTGGTACTTCTCTCTAAATAGGCACAGATTGTACCTTTAGTGCCAAAAAAGTAGTAATGGTTCGATATGAAGCTCCTGTATCGCAACCTTTGCTGCTTCTCTCAAGTGAGTTCTTGTCCTCCAACTGGACTAGCTCCATAACCTCCCTCAACCCTCATGGCCTCAATAATCGAACAACAGCCCTGATCTCTGAATTGAGCCCCTTTATGAAATTCTCCTCCAACATTGTTTCATATAGCCTCCCCAATCAACTAGAACGGTACTCAAACCTCTCTCAATAATCCATCATTATCCCTTCCTGAACGAAAGCAAAAAACTTCTCATAGAAGTCTTATTCCCAACTTATTCAGAAATATTTTAATAAACTATTTTTGAACTCCCTCTACGATCGGATTTGATCTCTCATGTTTCTCCACTGATACCAAGACAAAGCCATTCCCTTTAAGCATAGAGCCACGACAGTGAGTCTCTCCTCCTTCGTCATCCCATTCATCACAAAATACCTCTCCACCCTATAGATCCACCATCTTCCCCCTCAAAAATAAGCATCTTCAGCTTTCTCATTCTCAGATCCCCTCCGCCCCAACTTCCTCCACCTCTGGCTCCTCCCATGTGGCAATTATTATGATCTCTCCATTTTTCTCTCCCACCCTGCTCCTTTCCTAGATCCTCTTTCTAAAAATCAGCCCACCACGTTTCCTCCTCCCAATTTCTCTTCATGTCATATCCTTCACCCATTTCCCTCCTAGTTATTGGTTCAAGAGGTGGCATATTTTCCTTGTCACCCAAGGTTTCTACCTCTCGATCATCCCCTATTGGGTCAATATTGGGGATTCCCTTGCTTCCTTGGCCACCCGCCGATGCTCTCGTTTGGGTGAGAAGCTCCAATATTTTCTTCATCATATCCTCTAGGTTAGAAAACCTTTCTTCCATGGATGACATCCGTACCTCAATTCCAGATTTGAGTTGGTCAACTTTTCTTTTTATTTTTCACTTCCAAAGTATCCACTTTCTTCGGTTTCATAGTTCCTGAATCATGCTCTGATACCAATTTGGTAGGAATCTGATCTCCACCCAACAACAACGAAGAGAAAACACAGCATAAATCAACGAGAAAGAAATAAATTATTGATATAGGCACATCAAACTAAGAAACAAGTTGATGTACTATTCAAGAGGTAGATCGGCCCTCCACAAACCATAAGCACCGCTAGGAACAACTTTAGAGAAAAACTACAACAAACACACAAATCACATAACGAAAATCAAATAACCTAATTAACCCTATAAAAGCTTTATGAATTCCCTCCCAAATCTAAATTTAAATCAGCCCCCATTCTTTAAATATTTTTTTTGATTCCCTCCCAAATCTGAATTTAAATCAGCCCCCATTCTTTAAATATTTTTTTTAACTCCCTCCCAAATCTGAATTAAAATCAACCCCCCTCCCCCCCTCTCTAAATAAGCTTTACTAATTCCCTCCCAATTTTGATTTCATATGGTAAGCAATTAAATGTGGAATTATTCCCCTTTGGATCCCCCTATTTCCTTGCTCACCATCCGTCTGTCAAAGTGGGGCCCACATCATCCACTAGTCCATCAATTCTCTCAGGTAGTCGAGAGGGATAATTAACAATAGAGGCTTGAGCCTACGAAAAACTTGAAAATAGATCATACAGTCCTCACTAAGTGACGGAAAAAATCTCTAGATAGTGACTTGTCTAAAACTAATTTGCCTTCTAAAATTTTTACCCAACAACATTTCGTAAATCTCTTCTACAGAGGTTCGAGCGTGAATTTTGAAGCCCACAATAGCTAGTCAAATTTGAATTATATATGCCGGTATATTTTATTGTTAATATAGAATTTTGGTTAAAATATTTCATATAGGATAAATTTTCTTGTTAATTGCATCTTTGCATTTCGAGCATATTAGCAAACCATAACTTATATCTTACAAGATTATCGAAAAGCTTAGTTATAATGTTTATACACTTGATTTGTCACCTGACATTTAGGTAAACCCTACCTTCAATGTGCAACATTATTTGCATTATTATAGGACTTTTGAGTCATTGGTATTACTTGTAGTTGTTTCTTCGACAGGAGTATGATTTCACTATTCCAATGATTGTGCAATTCCAGTCATTAGCCTCGACACAGCATCAAAGGGCTAACTAGCATTCACTAGTATCTATTTTGTTGGCGTGGACATCTACCATCAGATGACGTATGAAGAGCTAGTCTGTCTATTCAGATCTTCTAAAGATCTTTGCAGAACCAAGATTTAAAAGTTCTAGAATAGGGCTTTTGTCACTCTTAGAGTTTGAGTCCCTCGTGCTGTTCATAATATTGCCACTGTTAGAATTCTTCAGACGGTAACAGAGGTTGCTCAATAAAGCAACGAAAATCACAACAACCAACTGTAGCTAGCTACAATTGCTTAATACTGTAAGCAGCAATCGAAGCCACGACATAGTTACACTGCAATAAGGTATAGCAGCAAGCCCGGTTGCTAAACATTAATAGGCAACTTGCTGCAACATGTTGACACCCTTCATCCACCTCCTAAGAGCCAATTGTAGTTCCCTGCCAATTTGGTCATAAATGGATTGCTCAGCCTAAGTAGGGGATGGAGATGGCCATGCCAACTTGTCGCCTTCCCCCAACTGTTTTTCACCCACTCAATATCACTTATAAGGTGGTGGCCATTACAATTGAAACCTGTCGATGCAACTCAATAACATTTTTAAGTGCAGCATACCACTATCAATGGATCCCTAGCCATCCGGGGTGGGGGATCAGAGTGCTACTCCTCCCGTAACACTAAAGCTCAAATTAAGTAATCTAGGGATAACAAACTTGGATCTGGGATTGCACTAATCCAATCTAATTTGGCCTATAATCAATTTTAATCAAAAGCAAGTTTATCACAATTTTCTAATTACCATTCTAAGATGCATTTTGATCATCAAATCAATGTAGCACACATCCCAAGGATGACATGGTGGCACATCAATGCTCCTGTTTAAGTGAAAGAAGCACTAGTTTTGACCTTCCCAACACACCCATCTAAGGCAACAAAATGCTTCCCAAAACCATCGGGATCAAGGAGATTGACCAGGTAACGCAAAAAAGCTTAAAAGTTGCATCAATTAATTGCACCTCCAACATCACTATCTAAACCGATGTAGCAAATCCATGACCATTGGATCAACATCTTCAATAACTTCTTTTCTAAGCACAAACAATGCCCACGATGCACATTATAAATAATATCCCATTTGAGTTTTTCATAGATTATGAAATTTATAGACTTAGAATAATCCAGCATTCTAGGAGTCCGAGAAGTTTCTCACTGAATTATTTAAAATATCTTTCTTTTTTAAGGAAATTTAGAGACCATGAAATTTTTCTTCCCCTTGTAAAGGGGTAATTTGATCGAAAGGGTGTCCCTTGGCTTTCTGAGCTTCAACAGCTGATAATGAGAGTGTCACATTTGACAGCAACAAGAAGTATATTTCTTTATCAATAGTTGACCTATAAATAGCATTAAATGTATAGGCTTGGCACTAAATGACAGGCTTTGTAAAGGCATTCCCCTAATTAAGAAAGCAAAGTATGTTAGGCATGTAATCAGTACTAACTAACGGATAAGTCTGGGGATGGCCACTTATGCAACATTCAGCGAAGCCGTCAGACATAATAGAGATTTTAACCATACTCACGGGGAAAGAACATGTTATATCAGAGCCATAGAACTGATATTCAGCTCCCATGTCAAACAATGCAATGTCACCTTCTTTCAAAGCCTGCAAAAGAAAATGGTACATAGGACAGAAGTTACATTTATAGGGACACAAGTGGTTGTTGCTTATTACAGGAGTGAAAATTCTAGCTGTTTATGATTCAGATATAAAAAAATATACTCAAACAGAAAAAACTGATCATGGTAAAAAATAGTTCATCAGCTCTAAAGAGAATACAGGAAAATATCTTCCCATTTAGAAGATAAATAAATAATAGCAAATAATATATCTTTTCAAAGACCTCAAAGTTGCAGTCAGTAAAACAAATATACATCACTTACCAATTCTAATGAAGGGGAAAAAAGAATAAATATCTAGTTGTTAACAGAATATTCGTATAACAATTTGCACTGCTTTAAGTGTTGAAATGAACATGCATATAAATTATAGGTACAAACAAAATATTATAAAGAAAGTGTGAGCAAGCTAAAATAAGGAACAAGTACGTTCCACATCTGCCAAAATTCTCCCCCTTAAGTAACAAGTGGCGTAGAAGCTTATGTGAGGAAATGGTCAAATATCACCATTCAACTACTACATTCAGTGTTTCAGAAAATGTTTCCTGAATAAGCTGCATGCAAGGTAGGGTAGGTGAAAATGAATCCGTTGTGCGTCAATTTTTTCAATTAACTGAAGAAAAAAAATACAAGCCCCAAGAAACATAAGCTAAAAAACCTAATTTTCCGATAAACTTTTAAAGGGTGAAACAAGAACATATATCTTATCTGTAGGGAATTGAGGTTAAAAATGTTTTAATTTGGCCAAATTTTCGGAACGAGCTTAATATTTATGTATTTTAGCAGAAGGAGCGCGATATCGGCAAAATTTAAAAAAGAGCCAGTACGCGTTTCTGTTTGGCGCATTCAAAGAATGCGCCTAACAAAATGGCGCATTCTTTGAATCCGCCTTTCAAAACAGTGTATTTCAATGGAAATGGTGGAATGCACGCTTCGATGAAGCGTATTCCATAGATTGCGCTTTTCTAATTAGCGCCTTCAGCATAGTTTTCTGCTTGCCAGCGCGAAATGAGGTAAATTTGGCTTATAGCGGGGGCAAGATCCGCGAAATCCGCGAAAGCAGTTGGGGAGGTGCGGAAATTGATGCCGGTTGTTGAATTTGGGTGGTTGGGAGCTGATTATTGATGATGGGTTTGAAGACCGAAGTCCTTTAAAAGGGGCAGTCTGCATTCGTTCTCTCCCACTCCTCCATCCACTCCTCCGTAAGCGAAGTTCTTTTCAAACCTTCAGTTTTAAATTTTTGAAGGTATGTTTTTTTATAAGTTTTGTATTTTCTCAGCTGTAGTTAAATTTATCTTGTAGCACGAGAAATAATGTGCTAGTGTAAGTAAAGTACCTGTGTTGAGCAAATATAGATTTGTGTGTTTGTTATTTATATACTTTTGTAATTTTAATGAGTTGTTTAGAGTAGCTTGAATTTATGAAATTTTATTTTAGCAGATCTTTAGCATTTGAAATTGTTTGTCCGCTAATCTTTAAATTTGGATAGTATTTGCTAATCTATTATTTTGTTGATGATCTTTAATTTTTAGTAGCACTGACATGTATTTACTAATTATGTATTAGATTTCGGACCCATGAGTGTGTTGTAATAGTTCTTTATTTGCAAATTTGAGTTTAAATTTAATTAACTGAAATGAATGTTTCAAAAAAAATTTATTATTATAAATAGAAGACAGATAGCTACTATGATTAAAAAAATGTTATTTATTATATTAATATGATTAACTAATTATATTATGATAAATAGAAATATGATGAAAATTTCATTAATAAATGATTAAAAAAAATTTTCAGATAAATTGTTAACTTAAGAA